TATTGGACACCTCGACTCAAACTGCGGTCTGAATGTGTTCATTGAACGAAGAGAGAGGTAGGAAGGTCATGCTAATGTTTGCTTAGGAAGGAACAAATCGGTTGCGCAAAAGTAGTGACCAGCTTCCATAAGGGAATAAAAATAGTGTGGTCCGATAAGTATAAAGCTACCAGGTTCAAATGAGAATGGATTATTCTTTTTTGGCCACACTTAAAATCCTGCGGAGATAGTTTTTAGAGCAGACACGCTGCTACGTCAAATGAAGGAGAATGAGCATCAACCTTGGCGGTAACAGATCTTAAACAAATAGGCCGCTATACCAGCAAACAAATCAAAGCTGTGCAACCCCAAACAGAATTCCTTTCGGTACAGACGGGCTAATTCAAGCTTGATTCGTGAGTGCAATGGCCATATGACAAAACTAGGATATGAATTGAAAATTTAGAGATGCCAACGTCGTGCACATCACGTTTTTTATGATGAAATGATTCCCGTCAGCTGATGATTTCCTATGAAGCCATTAGAGCCGACTTTTATTGTGCATGGGAAACCATGAAGTGGGAAGCAGTTTCACCACTACATCACTACTTGTGGCTCAATCTATCTTATGAACCAGATTCTCACTAGAATTCAATAGCTGTTGCACTTCCGCAAAATCTGGTCATACTTTTTCAGTGAAGGTGGAATATTGAAAGAGTCTTGTTTTCAAAGTTCCAGTCCTATTCAAGTTTACTAAGGGCAGCATAACAACATTGTATTTGGGAGGAATGGAGAAACTGCTTTGATAATGCCCTTACCGAGTAACTCGAGGCCTTTTACGGAAATCCGGATGCTTCGCCATCCTTGCCTTTCGTCTCGAGGAGGGTACAAGCACTTCGACTCTAAAATTAACGATAACAAAAAGTCCATGAAACATCTAGGTAAATGAATGGCATCAATTTAGGGCAAAGCCGTATCCGACAAAGACATTAAAGAAAGTTTTTCATAATAACAGCGTGAAAACAATGTAAATACATAGCATTTCCTTCTACGTGCTTCTAGTATTTCCTTCTATTCGTGGCAAACGGAGAACATTTTTCGCATACCACTAACTTACAGCGGATAGCGTAAGAGAACCATATATAGCGCTTATTGTTTTTTTTTTGTACATTTGCAGTATAAGGAAGACCCAAATAGCTCGTCGTATCAAGCTTGTGAAAACGTTTACACCACAAAACGAGACTTGACGAAATAAATAAAATTTATGCAAATTTCGAAAATTAATTTAAGAAAAGAAAGACGGTTCAAAAACTATTTGATGAAACACTATGAAAGGCGCCATCACCTGAAATTCTTTGATTTTGTCCTATTGAACATAGATATGTTTGCAGACGCTACAAGTGTGGTACCTCCTGAAAAAAAAACTTGAATCGAGAAAAAAAAAATTCCAATACTACTGTTGCGTGCAGATTCGTGGCTCAAAGTTACCGGATAGAGATACAAACAAACAAACGGGATAAGATATCGTGGATAAAAGAACTGTGTGATGTGATAAAGAAAGTGAAACTCCAAACCGCAGCTTTAAAATATTTCTAAAAACAAATTCACTTGATGTTTATCAATGACAGGTTCAGCCGTCAGCTAGCTTCAACTAAGCCACATAACGCGAATCGTTATCACTTCAATGTTTTTCTACGAAATTGTGAAAAACTGTACATCAAAAACCAAAATCACCAACAAAGAACCACCATAAAACCAAAAACTTTACACCAAAGTAGAAAGTGTTCACTAAGTATGTCACCTAAAGCCCAGTCCTATCTACGATCTTTCGATCCCTTCGCTTTCCTCAAGCTGGATCTAGACGACCAAGTTCTAAATGGCAACCTCCCGTGTAGCCTGATGGCCTTAACCGCACGCTCTTATCTTCAGAAAGAAGGCTTGAAAAATGCTTATGAAGAGTCGAAATGTCTGGAATGGGAAACATTAGCAAAAGGTCGACATTTAATGCTTCAAGAGCATAAATAATTCTGGGTCAAACAGCGCCTTTTATGGTGGAGCACTTACTTCGACTGACATTTCAGCAGGTTCGTCGTCTCATAGGCGTCAATGCCATCTATACCGAACGCTCGCTCAATTTTGAAGACAAGTAAGGCTTTCTCCATCGTCTGCGAAGTTGAGCAAGCGCTCTGTGTCGATGGAATTGACGCTTGGAGGACGAGGAACCTGCCCAAATGTCGGGCGATATAAATGTACCATGGAAAACCTGTTCCACGCAGAAGCATTGAATGGTCACTAGCAAACACCCAGGCTTTTCAAAAGGAGGACATGGAATTTCTATTTCTTGGCTTTTTTATCAGAAACGTACACTGATTTTATCAGCAAAGGGAGTC